TCTCTCTCTCCCTTCTCTCCTCGAGATCGTCTTCTACGAGGGCCGCAACTTCCAGGGCCGCCACTGGGAGTGCAGCAGTGACTGCATGGACACCTTTAGGCACTTCAACTACTGCAACTCCCTCCGTGTCAGCGGCGGCCACTGCGTGCTCTACGAGAAACCTCACTACATGGGATACCAGTATATTCTCAGCCCTGGCGAGTACCCTGACTACCACTGGTGGATGGGCTTCAACAACTGCATCCGCTCCTGCCAGATGTTCCCTCCTGTAAGTCAATCAAACAGACAGATAGAATTGGTAGCACCCTCCCACCCTCCCACCCCCCGTTACACTCACCTTGTACATCAAAAGCTGCTTTGGATATGGATGTCAATCACTGGCTTTTTGATGTCATTTACAGATACGCACACAGGTCATAGCATAAAAGTCTCTGCTGCAAGGCCCACAAAGGAGACCGAGTCAGCCTTTAAAAAGAATATGACATACCCCCCATAAGACTTGGTGCCTTCACTCTAATTCTGTTTGTCACATTGAGTGTTTCTGGCAGTTCAGGGAGGAGGAAAAAAAAATCCAATTCTGTCATGCTCCGAAAGAGTTGTTGCTCAATCTCGTTTGTAGTTAAAGAAACCGAGTAGTGCGAGTACTGAATTAAAAAGTTAGCTCGTTGTGGAAAGAGTTCTCTAGAGATTACACCTATTGAAAATAACATAATAGTCATGATTACCCTGTTTTCTTTCACAATGCAGTATAGGGGATCCTACAGGATGAGGATCTACAACAGGCCAGACATGATGGGACACTCAATGGAGTTTATGGATGACTGCCCCAACGTGTATGACCGCTTCCGCTACCGTGATATTTTCTCCTGCAACATCATGGAGGGTTACTGGATCTTCTACGAGCACCCCAACTACAGGGGACGCCAGTATTTCCTTCGCCCTGGAGAGTACAGGGCCTGTGGCGACTGGGGCTGCCACAATCCCATGGTGGGCTCATTCAGGAGAATGAGGACTCTCATGTAAACTGCACCCGTGTGCATCTCAAATGAACATTAAACACAAAACTTTAAAATAATGATGTCCTTTGTGAGCTTTCTTTTTTGAACGTAGACATGAATGCAACGTGCAGTGACACTCTAGCAAGGCAGCATATTTGCTTCCTGATTATATTCAACCAACAAAGGCTGCTGCTTGAATGGGTTTAAAATACAAGTCAGATCTCAGACTGTTTGCTGCTCTGTCTAGCTTCACAGTCTGCATGCAGGTTTCAAACATTCATGCCATTAAAGGCAGATGTTTGCAACTCTTATTGTAGGCCTTTGAGAAAATGCAGTTGGACAGTATTTTCCATAGACAGACAGAGCTTTGACAGAGACAAAGCGGCTGCGGTGGCTCAACAGTGCCATAGTGTTGTGCAGTCTATAGAGCGCACTGTGCTGACACGACAAAGCTTTGTTTCACTATTGCAAAGCCCTGATCTAAGCAGGGTCTATAAAGAGGTCTGGGAGAGCCCCGCATCTGGTCTGGTCTGAACTTAACGCAGTTACAATGGGCAAGGTAAGGAAGAAATTTAACAAATGTAATGTTTCACTGATATTTGATGTGCGGTATACCGATTTGTGTAGTAAATATAGTGCTTTACAAATTTGTTAGATCACCTGTTTTATATATATATATATATATATATAAAAAAGAAAACACAAATATTTAAAAAGCATATTTTTATTTATTAGGAAATACCAAACTAAATTCACTTTTTCCCACTGGACTTCAAGCATAACATTTAACCACTAAAACAAAAGTTTCTTTTCAGGAATGCAAGTAAATAACTACAATTTGGTAAAAAAATAAGACGTAATTTGGCTTTTTAGTAAGACTGTAGATTTAAAAATTAATGGAGAATAACAATAACTATATTTGAGCATAAAAATATAATTTTATCATTACCAAAACTGCCAATTTAGGGTAGCTGTGACAAAAAACTTACTTTGAGTCGTGATCTAATATATCTGTTAAGCACTATAGATAAATAATTAAGTTGAACTAATATATTCTGATAACGAGCAGTAAAAATATATACATTTTTTGGTCATATGAAACGTAAAAGACCTTTAAAGAGTAACAACGTATCGCTCTCTGGGTTAAACATACCATTAGTTCTTTAGGACTATTTACCATATTTACATAACCTATAAATTAATGTAAGAAATGCTAAAAGTGCAGGGAAATGTAATTCTTCTCTCAAGGATAGTAGAAGCCTCAAATATTTAATTGATCTTATAGTCCTATTTCCTGTGAAAACAGACAAAGAACTTGTGAAAAGTATTACACAGTTCATTCATTAAAATGTACCAAATGCTATACTTTATTTTATTCGGCTTTGCTTCTAGCACATCTTTTGGGACTCTTTTGTACTCCCTTAAGCTTATCTTTTTTTCAAATTTCTCCACTTACAAATTTTCTACTCAGAAACTTTTGTTAGATAAAACTAACTTTAAAAGTCTGGCTCAGAATACTGAACAGTGAACACTAAGCGTTCATGTTATTAGTGTTTAAGAGCCTGAAAACCTGACAGGTAACTACACGGTTACATTTCTGCTGTGGTCTTTGGAACATCTCTGTGGTGATACACTAATGCTGAGCCATCTGTTCTGTGCAGATTATCTTCTATGAAGACAGGAACTTCCAGGGTCGTCACTACGAGTGCAGTACTGACTGCCCTGAGATGCAAAACTACTTCAGCCGCTGTAACTCGATAAGAGTTGAGAGCGGTTGCTGGGTGGCCTACGAAAAGCCAAATTATGGCGGCTACCAGTACATGCTGCACAAGGGAGAGTACCCCGACTACCAGCGCTGGGCAGGCTTCAATGACTGTATCCGCTCCTGTCGTATGGTGCCTCCTGTGAGTTTAAACTCATTTTCTCTTCAGGATCATTTGGTTCTTATGTCTACTGCTGTTACTTGAAGCATCAATGCCAGTAGCCAGGATTATTTTAACACATGTAGTGTAGACTGGGTAACTAGTCAGGATAATTTATCCTGGCTGACTGCAACAAAAAAGACATTTTTACCTTAATTTGTGGTATTATCTTATTCTCTTATTTCTTCCCTAGTATAATGGGAACTACAGGATGAAGATCTTCGAGCGATCTGACTTTGGCGGTCAAAACATGGAGCTAATGGAAGACTGCCCAGACCTGCACGAGCGTTTCCACACCCGTGATATCTCCTCCGTCAATGTCATGGAGGGCTACTGGATGCTGCACGAACACCCCAACTATAGGGGACGCCAGTACTTCTTGCGTCCTGGAGAATACAGGAGGCACAGCGAGTGGGGAAGCGCCAGTCCCACCATTGGCTCTCTGAGACGTGTCACTGAGCTCAACTGATTCCCATTACTTTTATTTTTAACCCTTATTTAATCCCATCATTAAGAATACCTCCCTCTTGTTCCCTTAATGGCTGTACTGTTTCAGTGTGGTCTCAACACTGTGATGTTCAAACCTGAAATCATACATTTTAATGATGCGGGTTTGGATGCGTCGGATGTTGGGGTTCCCGTTTTGTTGTGTTGCTTTGCATTGTTGGGTAAAATTACTACCCAACTTAGTGCTCAGGCAATGCTTTGGTCGTTCCATAGCAGAATGTTTTGCCTCGCCGGTCCCTAACCTCCTGTCCTCCTGGAATCACAATAAATGAAAACTTGATGAAAGTCAACTAAAGGAAGCCTTTGTTAATTTTCTATTGACTGCTACAGCTGTCACTGTCAAAAGATCAGGGGGATATAGCTTGTCATAAATCTGAGGGGTATTTTTCTCTTTAATATGGTGATTGAACTTTAGTTTCATCAGGCCACAGAGTTAGACACTAGTGGAATCACTGAGGTCCTAACAATACCAAGAGTTTCTACAGTTTTTTATGATATTACAGATCCACATACACAAAGAAAAATTATCAAGGAAACAGAAGCTTATTCTTTGAAGTTCACTATTAAAGACCATAAAAAAGGGTATCTGAGGATGGGCATGTTGGAGTCTTTATGAGATCACATGGTACAGAGTAAGCGCTTTGGGTCCATGAAAGATGCCCATATTAGATCCACATCACAAGGCCAGTGCCAACTCAAAGAGTTGGAGTCAAAGTGGCCTGGTATTAGCCCCGAGCATCAAGCTCTCTCAGAACAAAAAACAAAACCCAGTCCATATCCCTGCTCATGCATTTTTCATCAGCCCAAGATACTGAACCCTTTCAGAAATAAATATCAATTATTGAAATTGTTAATTAGACACTACGTAATTGGCGAAGATACACATGAATAAATAACACTGACCATTAATTATTGATTCAAAAAAAATTGAACCCCAGCAGAGAGTGCATTTGAGAATCTCTTAAGATCAAGCACAACAAGAAATATGAGTTTTGGCCTTGAGTAATGTCCAATTAAAGGACTGTCAGCTTTGCTGTTCAAGTCCAGTGATTTGCCCTTATCACATTTTTTTTTATATCTGTGGACAACAATGCCCAGCAGACAACACAACATCAACAGAGTGCAACATGGGATCAGATCACCCGGGGTCTCAGGGCAAAGCCAGATAAGAGATGAGAGGAAATCTTACAGGCTGCCTAGCCTGACACATAACTGGAAGTTAATCCAAGGTCAAAAGGAACATCGACATCAGATATTTACAAAATTCAGTAAGGAAAGCATTTCAGGCATACACAGAACTACAGAAATAGCTCTGCATATAATGTTGCAGTTAAAAAAAAGGGTGCATGCTAACCCCCCTCCCCAAAACAAACAAACCCAAAACAATCATGCAAACAAACAAACAAAAAATACTGAAAATGATCTTGCATAATATTCCATATAGTAAATTTTACTTCACTGTCCACTTTTAACATAACTGAAAAATCTACTTGGTAGATAAGGACAAAAGTTACAATACTTTTTCTATTTTTCCATATTTTCATCCATCCTTTTTCTTCCACTTTTCCAGTTCGGCGATATCACAGTATTTTCATTGTTGGTCATCCCAATATTTCTTCCTTTGAAAGCTTCAACCAAGTCAAAGCTTGAATTCAAAAACAAACCGTACTGTGGAAACATTTCAACCAGGTATCTGTAAAGGGCAAAGTTTTATCCATCCATGCATTCTTTGCCATTTATTTGGGTTTGGGTCGTAGGGGCAGCAGTCAAACTAGAGATTTATGCTTCAGTGGGAAATCTAAACCGTAGGTATGTTATAACGGCAAACCCTCTGGGCACCCTACTGCCTGATTTAAACTCCTGGGGTGAATCTTTGCAGAATCTACGATGTAACCTACACATAGTCAGGCTGACCAACCTAATCAGACCTTTTCTACAGCCTGACAGCTCCTTTGACTTCCAGTGTGACTGGAATTACTGCTACAATTGGCACCAGTGATCTTGCAGTTGCAGCTCCTGATGACACGATCACAAAACTCAATTACTGACTTGCACCTTAGCGTGTCTTGCTGCAACGTGCACTAATTGACATCTTATGCTTGATCAGTAATGGAAGGCAGTAACTCCCAATCATACCCTGAAGTCAATCAGCAAGACAACAAAATCCCCACATTAAACACTCTGACACCCCACCAAAGCTGGGTACTCTGAACTGTCATTTGGCAGGTACACAAGAAAAACAATCAGGACCAGTCCTCTGACCTGAAGGTACAGGGAAGCAACCATCTTGTCCACTGGAAAAAATCTTAATGTGCTGGCACCAAATTGGGGGGATACAAGTATACTCTGCCAGTCGAATTACGCTTGGAGCAAGTCCAACCCCTCTCCACAAAACTGATTCCAGAGCCTAAATTGTGCGTTGAGCCAATATTGGATTAATATTGAATTAATATCCCTCAACCTCACGTACTGCACCAGGGAAGTGACATTGCATGCGTCACAATCCTGCCCTCCTGTAGGTAGTGGACCCACAGGAGGGCAGACCCATATAGCTGCTTCAGGCTAAGGCCCAGCAACCAGACGTCTCTCCCATGTTAACCCTGTCTCAGGAAGGGTAAACTGGTCCTGCAAAGGTTTATGTCAATGCAAAATGGAAATTATATTTAAAATAGCAGTTTCAGTTAGTAACCTCCCTGGTTCATAATAAAAACACTCCTCGGTGTTCCGTTACGTAGAAAACTCCTGTTACTACGTGAACTAGATGCACACACCTGCACTTCAATAGCTACTGTAACAAACAACTCTTTACACTTAAGAGATGGTAAAATACAATTCTATCAAACATTATGTATCAAAGAAGCAATACTGAATGTCCCTAGATTGTTCCTTCTCTACCTCCAGTCATTTAGATGATATTTTCAATCGCTCCACACATAACAAGGACAAAAGAGTGAGATCCGAGTTTTGTCTCCCTCTTCATCTCTGAACCCTTTGGACTTGATGATGGGAAGCTGATTGAAGGGTAAGTAGTGCGTTTTGGAGAATGAATTCTTTAGATGATAGAAAAGAAAAAAGGAAAAAAAGAAGAAACAGAGAAACCCAGAACATAAGACTGTGATTCCATTATTAGTCTCAGTTCTCCTTTTCTCCCTTTTCATTTCTGATGGCTGGATAATTAAACCTCTATAGTATTGTCTTCCATGTTACTTGCCCCACTTCCAGCAATGCGAATTCCCCTATGGGCAACTTTAAAAAGGGCCTTTTTAGACATCTGTTTTTCAGATCAGTATGACTTTTTTCCCCATTAATTTGTGTTCTTTGTGAAAGTAGAAAGACTAGTGCCAGGACAGAGATGAACATACATGTGAAAATGCTCAACATTTCATCTGCCAAAAAAAAGAAAAAAGACAAAAGAAAGAAAAATATCCAAATATTCTTTTTCAACTTTTTATTCCACAATACTGCTATTAAATAACCCGAACTAATCCTTAAGTGTGCATTGCAAGACATCTGATAGCAGCTCAGAGGCTGGAATGTTACAAAGCTTAATTTAAAGGCAGTCGCATTCTCCCCTCCAGCTTGAAGGAGGCAGCTTGTCAATTACGATTCCCGCTCTGACAGAAGCTTTGGGCGCCAAAAGGAACAAGCAGGAAAGCAACAAAGCATGGAAAAATGAACACAACATGCAACAATAATCAAATAAATAAAAAAAATATGGGAATAAATGGATGCATGTAAATTGGAGTGTATTTAAGTGTCATTATTGCAGAGAAAATCTCATTTTCTGATGTCCTAGAATTGCATATTTTTAATCCTATTAGGTAAGATTTTACGAATACATTTACAAGCTGCATGTCTGATAATGTCACGGGTATTTTCAAAAGACAATATATCAGAAACATACAGAAAGTTCATCCCAGAATTAAAGCGGGGGGTACAAATATTGTTTGAACAAAGAAAGCACTTACAGTACAGTCAGTGTGAACCTCGTGGGTAATGAACCGATGTAATCCACTGAGCCCTTAGTCACTGAGAGGTTACAATATTAAATGTAAATTTAATTTTGATCAAACTGAAAAATCATGTTTTGTGATTGTTTAAAACACACTGCTAGGGGTTCTTTTTGATATATCAATTATAGCAATGAAGTGTTTTTCATAGGTTATTAGAGTAATGTGTAACTGTGAAGGTACTTAGAGTCCATTACTAATGTGTGCTTAGAAAGATTCTTAGTTTGCACAGTTACTGTCAGAGTAATTAAACAGGGGCTCTGGCTTCTTGGTACCAGACATATGTTAGCTAATCAGAGTCACTGCAGACAGATGCATGCTAGTTATCTGTAATCAGCATACAGCCACACTTTTCATATAGAGAGACAGGGACCATATGACCTGTCAGCTTAACCTCCTAAGACCCGAACTCTTCCACGACATGCATTTTTAATTTCTCTTTGATATATGGACATATTGGGGCCCGATGAATGTAAAAACAAAGAATTACCAGATTTTTTTTAACCTTATTTTATTTCTAAGAAAAATAAGAGCCACATATAAGGATATTCGTTTAAAATTTTGATATAACAGTAGCAGTATAATGTCCTCATAAGTGGATATCAGGCCCATGTAGAGCAAAATTGAGTATTTTGGTCTAAATAACCCAAAATGTGATGTCCACATATGTGGACGCCAGGTCCTAGGAGGTTAAAGTGGGAGAATAGTCAGACAACCATTATTAAAGTGAGATATTACCAGGAAATAAAGGAAAAAGAAATGACATCAAGCAAGGAATTTAAAGTTATTAAATAGATGTGTAAATAAATGAACAGTTTTAATATTGTTTTCTACCAAAATCTTTAAAAAAATAAATAAAGTAATTTAATTAAAAGATACCATTACTAAAATTAGTTTGCCCAGTACAAATTCAAATGAGAAAATAATGACGAATCTCAATCTGTGTGAAGTATTTTTTTTTGCATGGTTTAAACACCATTTGGGGTTTTTGCATAGTTTAATATTGGGGCTTATTGACGTACCCAACCTAAGCTGAGGTAGAATATTTTCAGACTCTTAGTCCTTAAATAGGAACATCTTTTTAAATGTAGTAATAAAACAAACCATTGCTGTTTTGAGCAGCTATGTGCTTCAAAGGTTGAAGATAGTGAAAACAGCCAACCATCATCTTGAGAAAAATCCGAGGGAGCTTCTGGATGGTGATGCAAACAACGTTCGTAATAAGGCCAAAGGAATGCTGTCAGACTCTCTGGCCTAGTTGCTGTCTCTCTGTCCAGCTAAAGGCTGCCCAGCAGGCAGGTTTTCATGCAGGTACTTCATGGTACCATGCTCCGAGAAGTCGGCTACTGTGTGTCCATCACCTCTCAGGACCCACTTGGTTGTGAGCAGGCCCTCCAGGCCTACAGGGCCTCGGGCATGTATACGAGCTGTGCTGATACCTACCTCTGCTCCTAGAGAAAAGTACAGAAAGAGTGCAAATAATGAGGACTACATGAAGAGAACATATCAGTGAAATATGAATAAAAATACTCAGACAGGTTTAGAGAAAACAACACAGAGGATGTCAACACAAGACCACCACATACCCAGTCCAAAGCGGTAGCCATCTGCAAAACGTGAACTAGCGTTCCAGAAAACACAGGCGCTGTCCAGCTGCTGAAGAAACTTCTCTGCTGTGTCCTCTGACAGAACAAAACATCTCATTAGTGCTATTGTGTCTGTAAACACTTTTGGGGCTTAATTTAAAGAAATGAGAATAGAAACTGAGCTAAACTGACACATTAATGCACTGAATGAGACTGAAAGCTTATATAAAACCTAAACCTATCATTTAAAGCAGGGGTGGAGAACTCCAGGGCTCAAGGTGTCCTGCAGGTTTTAAATATCACCTTGTGTCAGCACACCTGAATCAAATGATTACTTCATTGCCATGCCGCTGGAGAACTTCAAGACATGTTGAGGAGGTAATTTAGCCATTTAAATCAGCTGCGTTGGATCAAGGACACATTTAAAACCTGCAGGACACCGGCCCTTGAGGCCTGGAGTTCCCCCATCTCTGATTTAAAGGCTTTCCTGAAAACAAAGATATGTCCCCTGACATAATCTTTGAAATTCACGTGAACTGTGCACATCCATCCAAAAATATATCTACAAGCAGGTTAATGAAGACAGCGTATTCACCATTTTTATCAATCTTCCTCTCTGATAATATCCAACTTTGATACAAACCGATTAGTCCGGAATTCACTGAGGTTCCTTCTGTAGTCACTAGATGGCAGCAACACATCCTCCACTGCACGTGAGATCATCCTCAAGGTGGAAATCTTACCAGTAAACACTTTGCTTTATTTTTTAAAAGTTAATTCTGACTGCCAGAATAAAAGCACATAATGTTTTTAATATTTATATTTTCAAAGGAACGTGAACCTGAGTTTCTTTGCCTTACTGAAAAACTTAAGCTCCCACCATTCAAACGATACTCATAAAATAGTGTCCACGTGTGAATAGAAAATTGTAAAATATATGAGACATCAGTTTTGTCCACATGGTAATGACCACAGCCTTAAAGTGAGAGAACACACTGGAAACTGCACAGGATAGCTTCTTTCAAAATGAGTTAAGGACACACAGCATGACGGCTCACTTCAAAGACAGAAGTGTGTCTGAGCATGTTTCAAAGTTATGAGAAGTCTTTTAAACTGTTAATCAGCTGCTCTACATTTTAAATGGGCTCTGTCCACAATCTAGAGTCACAAAGGGAGGATGTGCACTCATCCTGACAACACCTTGTCACTGCTCATTAATCGCTATGGCAGAAAGTGAGACGTAAGGTGGACTGAATCCAACAGAGAGAGAAGGAAAACTTGATGAATATTAAGACATGGAACAAAAAAAGAATGACCAAACTGACAGGTGCTACTCAGTCATGGTGTGACAGAAATTGTGAAACTACAAGGCAAAGGAATTAAAAAGCAAATTGGCAGAATGTATTTAAAAAGAGGGAGAGAGAAAGAGACTGGGCAAGAACAAAGTACTAACAGCAAGATATTGCATCACCTACCATTTTCCGTGATTATAACATCTGTGTGGGAGCTGCCATACTTATGTATGTGCTCTACGGCCTCCTGCATGCTGTCCACCACCTCCATGCAGCACTCCAGCTCACCATACTCTGTCCGCATAGACTTTGCCTCTGAGGGGCTGAAGGTCAGGTAGGAGGCAAACCGAGGGCCTGCGTGAATCTTCACCTAGTCACATCAGACAGAAATAAATTTCTAACTTTAATATATTATGACAAAAAACGTTTTCATTTTGTTGGATGACTGGTGATGTATCTAAAAATGAGTAACATTGAAAGTCAGCCGCAGTTTTCCTTAATTTATCAATCAGAATATTGACTTAGTGCGTGTATTTGGCATTTTACCCGTTCAGTGCGAAGCATGTCGATAATTTGGTCGAACATAGGGGTCCTGAGGATGTCCCGGTGAATCAGCAGAGTTTCCATAGCATTACATGCAGCTGGGTAGTCACACTTGGAGTCTCTCACTAGAAGAGGAAAGCATTAGTCAGTCACTGGCATGTTATGACTGACAGGCATTTATATGGGGGGGAACTGTTCTAACGGACCGATTTTTATGACTTTGTCAATGCTGGCTTCTGAGTCCACATAGACGTGACAGATTCCCTCGCTGTGACCCAGCACAGGAATGCCCTTGGCCGCTCGCTGAATGTCCCGCACCAGCTGGGATGAACCTCGGGGGACGATCAAGTCTATCATCTTATCCAGTCGGCAGAGATCCTCCACTTCCTCACGGGTGCTCACCTGGGAAGAAATACGGGTTTGTGAATCACATCAGATAGAAGAGTGTACTGTAAAGTGCTATAAAGATGACACAAGGTTCTCACTGCTTTTTAATAAATATATAGGAAATCAGTTTTACCATCTGCACAGCCTCCTTGACTCCATGCATGGAAAGAGCTTCCTGGGTGAGCTGGTGGAGGACATGGTTGGTGTTGGCTGCCTCTTTTCCTCCTTTCAGCAGGAGGGCATTGCCACTGGCTATTGCCAGTGTTGATACCTAGTTATTACAGGTGTTCCAAGAAAGTGACAAAGTACATTTATAAAAATGGAAACCAAAAAGTTAGCTAAGCATATAAACCACAGAATGTGTTATGGTAAGTTCTGCAGAAATACAAGGTGTTATTATTTATTCATATGTTAATCTCCTATTCATAGTAACTTCCCCAAATATCCATTAACCTCTAACATTTTAGTTTTATCCCAGTCTAATACATGTGTGTGATGAAATACAAGGACATTAAGAGGTCAAATATCAGCCTTGTCTTGATATTGTCCCATATGTAATTTTTTTCAACAATGTTCAAGTGATTTATATGTTTTTGTTAAGATTTAAGTTCTTCTGCAGCAATACCTGCGGCAGGCAGTCAGGTCGGGCCTCAAATATGACCAGAAGCAACCCGATGGGTACAGTAATCTGCTCCAGCTCTAAATTATGAGCCACTCTGGTCCTGCGCAGCACTCGACCCACACTGTCCTGGGCGGCCATGGCTATCTGGCGGAGACCTACTGCCAAGCTGTTAAGTTTGGCCGGTGACAGACTGAGACGCTTCAGCATGGCTGGAGGCAAATGGCCTACAGAAAGAAGGCATAGCAGAGTTACACTTTGATAGCAGGTAGTGAGGTATAAAACTCATATGTACAGAAAGGGAAAGTCGCCCTCTGGTGGCAACACACGAGAATGTCATCCCTTAGGTTCAATGTTGAAGTTATTGTAGCAATATACATGCAAAAGCTGCTGAAGTCTGGAGATCAGTTACATACATGGCACATGAATTTATTATCCTTGTTTTTTTAAGAGAATGTGAAAGCACTAGCACTACAATAGCAACATAAAACATCAAACAAAGAAAATGTCTCTGCAAGTCTAGTTTATATTTCAAAAACCAGACAGACTTGATGTGGTGTCCTGTTACCTGCACTGACAGCCAGGTCCATATCCATCTTGTTTGCAGCCAGAATCTCTTCCTTCCTTTCAGTCAGCAGATCTGCTAGATGGCAGATGATCTCACTCCTCTGACAAGTAAACAAAATAATTCAGGTTTTCTCTTTAAGTGATAAAGCACCCAAAGAGCTGTTTACATTTTTAATGTTTATAAAAGATATTGCCCGAGTCCTTTATCTAAAAACACTGTGTCACCTGGACTGGATGCAGAGATGCAAGGGTTCTTCCAGAACGGCGCGCTATTTCTGTCTGTTCCTCCACAGATGGGCCTGAAGGAGAGTCAGGACAGAATTAAACATCAGAGCCTGCAGATGCAGTTTTACAGCAATAAAAAAAAAAGATTCAGCTCAGGTAAACTCACCGGCAGGTTTAAATTCAGAGAAGAAGGTTCCTACTTTCTTGCCCTCCACAATGTCAGTGATGACATGGCCTGTTACTTTGGGGTTGGTGCCATTTGCAATAACCACTGAGGTGCCACCGTGCAAGGCCCAAAGGGCAGCTTTGACCTGCAGCCAAGCAGAGATTAAAAAAAATATTTTGTATAAGATTTACTTAATTTTAATACTCAATCCAATCAAACGTACAATCTTTTATATGACATGCAAGCATTATCATATTGGAAGACACCATCTGAGAGTTGGGTGATTCCAACACGTTACATGTAATAACAAGCACAATCTGACCTCTTATTGTTCATCTTATTTTATATATCACCACTCATACTTTAAGGATTTTTGCCCCCAGTCTGTGATAGCTGCCCTGAGTTTTGTTGGTTGCTTGTATTTCTCATTTAGGTTTATGTAAAAGAATTTTCTGAAGAAAACTGATGCAAAAAAAAAAGAAAAAAAAAAGAAGAAGAAATGTACAGGAAAAGCCTGAACTTTTCCTTATTGTAATGAGTTGATGGGCAACTTCACCAACCTTGGCCTCCATGCCTCCGATCCCAACTCTAGACTTTGTACCATAGGTGATGGACTGCTGGTCTCCAGGGTAGAAGATGTCAATGAGCTTGGCATCATCTGTTCCAGGGGGGCTGTTGTATAGTCCTACAATATGAACATTACGGATATGACTTATTTGTTCGAGATGAAAATAACCAGCGTTTACACATCAGCCTAAATTGTTCCCACATCCATTTTATTGCTAATGTTACTAAAGCCATAAATAAAGCTGGTGAATATAGTTTAGTTAGCAACAACAAAGCAAAGGTTGCATCCTCAGAAACATCCCAAACACGTAATAATACAGATATAGAAAGAAACTGCAAGATCTCTGTTGATAAGAAAGCCCTATGATGATTGAAAGGTACTATTTTTGCACAAGTCAACCCCTTTTAAAAGGAAAATCCTGGATAGTACCCTTTTATTGTGCATAATCATATGATAATTTACTATGATCACTCTTCTCTGCTGAAGTTTTGTTTTATTTAATATTCTAAAAGCCATCCAGATGATGCTGAATGACTACAGCCGTGATTCTGTGTGCGCATGGACGCCATGTGTCACCTCCATCAGCATTAGTTTCAAACACGAAGGCAGAAGGTGTGTGTTTGTCTTTCTCATATGGCTCGCCATTGACCCTGAGAGGGATGTTTTTTTTCCCCCGTCAGCAAAGTGAGCAGACAGATGGTGTTGTTACCTAACAGCTGACCCAGAGTGTTGTTGCAGTGACACACATACCCTCCACATCAGAGAGTGCGATGAGCAGGTCAGCCTTCATCTCTACAGCTAGCCGTGCTGCCAGGCTGTCGTTGTCCTTAATGCTGATCACCTGCAGAAACAGAAAATTGCTCATGTAAGCTCCTGAAGGCAGAAAAGCGGCAGCAGAGAGTAACCCATAAGCTTATTTTTTAAAGACAGAACTAAGCAGATAAACTGAAACACAAATATGTTAATACATATGACTCTGCAACACTGTTGGCAGCAACATCTGGAAAATGTTAAACAGAGCTGATCAACTCAGAGATAAGCTTGTGAAGAGCTGTTTGATGCTTGAGGTTTGGCCTTTTTTGTTGTTTTTTTCCATCAGATGTGACTGTATTTGGACAGAGCTGTGAAGTTAACACTGACTCCTTTCAGGACAACCTAAAGTTAAACGATACAAAAGTAGGTGTGGCCACTCTAATAGCTGATTTAGACATTGGAGAGGAATCTTTGTAGAGATTTTGGAAATCTCCCACCAGAAAATTTGTGTCCTTACATTGATGCTAAGATTATTATTCCTTACACTGAGGTAATGATTGTTATTTTCTCACTGATAAATTCAAAAACTGCAGCGGAAATGTAACGAAAAATGCACAAAATGAATCACAAGCACTGAACAGGCCAAACATTGTGATTACTAGGGAGGTGCACGCCAGGTTTCAATGTAAGATTTGTAGTTGTGGCATACATAGAGTGTAGATTTCTCACCACGGCATAAATTTAAGCAGATAAATTACATAAAATAGGTAGTTATTTTTATTAAAATATCGATTTTGCTAGAAAGTTTTTTTTTCCGAAACAACTGTTTTCTGTTAATTAAAAAAAACCTAAAGTTATACCACTGACTTATAAGTAGTAGTCTTCTAGCTGCCTAAGTCAATAATTAGTAATATTAATAATACAAATTCAACGCAGTAGAAAGTGAAGCTAAATAATCTGATAAAAAGAGGTAAGTTATCCTCACAGGATGCCCGGTGATCACACGCACTGCTGTCTATCCCCTCCCTGCATACACATGCCTTTATGGTTGATTGCAGAGCTGACAAGGTAAGGTAGGGTGGCAGAGGTGTTTCAGCGTGCGTGTGTGTGTGTAAGATAGAAAATGTTGTAGTTAATGAATAGTGGATGTTAAAAAAAAACAACAACACCGTCTGCCACCCCTGCTGCCACCATCACTACAACCAGCGGTGCCCCCATGCTGTCTGTACCCACATTTACCCCCTGCAGGTCGCTGTTGGGCTCCGGAGGGGGCACCACAGCATCATTGGTGTTGATGATTGGCACGATGTTCATGTGCAGCAGCTCCCGCAGTGTGCTGTTCAGGTTCTGCCTCTTTTGGTCATCGTGGAAATCCAGATTTGTCACCAGGACCTGACGGCACAAAATCAGAAAATGTAGTGAGGGAGAAATTTAAACAGTAGTAATTAATTAAGCAAGAATTTTGCAAAGCACCTGTGCTGTACAAGTGCTGTACTGGGTGAACATGGCTTCATACAGGGCCATCAGGCCGCTCTGTCCAGCTGCAGCACAGGCTCGGGCCTCCAGCACCGGCAAAGACTGAAACACAAACAAACACAAAGACAAATTACACCACACCGACCAAGTGCAATTTATAAGCTAGACAGAAAGGTGTGACCTACAAACTCTTTACACAAAGAAGAATAAATGTAAGCTAGTGCAACATATGATAGTATTTGCACTGAAGTGAACTGTGTGATAAAGCTAACTGCACCATAGCATAAACATAAAGTTTTAATTAACTGTAAACAATGAGCTTCACAATAATATAAATTATTGTGGGATTATATTGGGGTGATATTTCATTGTATTTTCACACTGAAGAAATTTCTAAAGCATTTGGTGAAGACTTGACTTACCTTGTCAGCAAAGTTTTCAGCTAACATCAGCATCTTGATTTTCTGAGATACCCTAAGTTCCCATCTTTTCTCACCATGTCATTGAGTTGACTGTGTCCAGAGTGCAGCGCCTGCCGAACACTCTGGGACAGCAGGATCTCATGTCTCAGTCTTTGCTTGCCGAAGGCCACAGCTCCACTGGTGACAATCATCATCTCCCTGCCTTGATTCTGCAACATAGCCACCTGCGCAACAACGGACCCATTTAGTTTCACTGCTGGGGCTATTTTCTTCCTCTTCAGGCTCACTAATGATTTTGATTTAAAGCTCAGTTTTAACCAATTATGAACCCATACATTCTGTAACTTGGTGATAAATGTCCATTTGTACTATCTGTAGCAAGTACTACAGTACATGTGTCTACAGATAGATAGAAAATGAGTTGAAGCAAAGGAAAAAGGGACATTAAAACATCATCAGTAGATGGGAAACATCATGAAAACCCACAGATTGGTTTACACGTCACTGAATTTTAAAACAGTTAGGTCAAAGCTTGTGTTACCTGATTTTTTCCCCCCGTGTCAAGAATATTCTACACAATAATCTCTAAAATGTATAGAGTGCATCATTTTATTTGGTTTTTCACCTGCTCCACAATCGAGGCCAGCCTCCCAAGAGCCAAGCCACACTCATCTCCACGTGTAACGACGGCACTGCCGAGCTTAACTACAATCCTCTTGGCCTGCCGCAGCTCACTGCGGTGTGCGAAGGAGCTGCTATGGGCCCTGCCCTGGCCACCTGGAAGATATTTTTCTGATTATTAATCACACTTAACTTTTCAGTACTGTGCTTAATAAGAGCCAGCTTCCAACATAATGTTCATGATGCTGCCCACTAGACTAAATACTAAGATGATCTCATAACACCTGATTACATTCACTCAGCATTCACTTTGCAAGGTACAGCTAGCAAAATGCAGTTACCTAATCAGCCAGTCAAATGGCAGCAACTAAATGCATTTAGGCATATAGACATAGTCATGATGACCTGCTGGAGTTTAAAGTGAATATCAGGTGATTAAAGTGGCTTTCAATGTTGCATAGTTGTTGGCGATGGATGAGCTGGTTTGAGTATTTCAAAAACTGCTGATCTAGTTGACAGAGAATGGTCAGAAAAAGAGAAAATATCCGGTGAGTGGCGAGTTCCCTGGGAAAAAAAATCTCTTGTTAATGTCAGAGATCAGAGCAGAATATCCAGACAGATTTGAGCTGAAAGGAAGGCATGCAGAAGAGCATCATGAATGTGGAGCGGACAAATCTGCAGCAATTGCATGATGCTATCTATGCCACAAAGAATTAAGGCAGATCTGAAGGTAAGGAGTCCAACTCAGTAGAAGCACAGTGTAACAAATATGTGGCAAGTGAGTGTACATCTCTTTACTTATTGTAGTTTAAAAATGTCTCCCTTCCACATTTGCTGATGTAACACTATCTGGGTAAATATTTTTCCTTTAACTGACCACTTCAAACAACCATTTTTTTTTTTTTGCTGGGTTTCCGTTTCATTGATTACATGAATGAAGCAAACAGTGTGAGGCCCTTCCACACATCCATTTGCAACCTGGGAAACAGATAATCACAGCCTTCAAACTGCCACATCAGCAGGACACTCAGAGAAAGCCTGTGCTGACATTACACATCTCTGTGGAGCAATCAGGCGCGTGAGAGAGGTGGGCAGAGAGAGTACATCAAAAAGAAAAAAGAAAAGAAAGAAAAAGGAGGAAAAAAAAAGGAGAAAGAGAGCAGCCGGTGACATCTTTTACAGAGTAGAGCAGGTCAGAAACTGCCCTGACCTACAAAAGCACATCGTTTAATGTTTGAGCATGTGACCAATACACTATAAAAACTTTTTATCTTGCTAAGATCACTTTAATTATCATTTCATTGGTGATTATTTGTTTAATTCTGGATCAATCGCTGGTCTATATGTGTGATGATTAACCAAAACAACAGTCACAATATATAGTTATTGTCTTTAAAATGTCTGTTTTCGTAACCAATTCTTAGACAGTCCTCTGGGAAAAAAGGTTTGCATGAAGAATTATTATTTTGAAGTGATTTACCACATATCAAAAAGTTTCTGTCCTGGGATTAATTAAAACAATTGGCATATTACATTTACTTGCTGGTGTTCGACTGCCAAAAAGAGATTTTTAATGTTTCTGTGTGTTTTCTATGTGTAACAGCTTTGCTTATATTAGTAAATAGATAGTCAACAGGTTTTACAGAGGGGTTATAAATAAAATGAGGAAAACTATTTGTTATACAAGTTTTTTTCATGACTCTGTGTTATTGTACCTTCATTATAATCAATCCAGTCCTTTTTGGTCACTTAAAATATCTTTATAGCACTGTGATGGTATATCTGATGTCATTTGCCCTGTTTTTATGGATGGATTTCCATTGAAAAAATACATTTTATATGTCAATTTACACGTTTTACCCCCCAAAATAAAGGATATATAAAAGTGACTTTGCCAAAAACCAGTTGAGGCTTCTATATTGAGACAAAAATGTTCTTTCTGGCTCAAAATGCTTTTCATCATTCATTAGAGATAAATATGTTTCACATATGTTTGATAGATTACAGACCATCAAGACACAAGTTTAAATTTGTTTTGGTTTTTTGGGGGGCAAATACCAGAAATAACTTTTTTGATACAGCCCAGACTGCCACAATATTATCATAACACATAGAATAATCTATTCCTTTAACTGTCCCACAAGGGGAAATTTGGTTAAGGCACACAAAGCACTGGATTACTTGCCTTGTGTCAGTTTTCTGGAGAGCAGCTGGCTTAAGTGTCTTGGTGAATCCGGGGGGATCTTTGAACACAGGGTGAGCCTCAGCAGCAGCATGGTCATTTTTATGGTCTTTAATAGAGACAGAAACACCAGTGCACATTAGGACAAATACATCAACTTTTTCCATCCACCTAAGACGTCTTCTTGCATAGCAGCATGAAACCTGATTCCTTGCATCCTTGCAAAATATAAATAAACCTCCTGCTCCATGCATATTAACATGTTTCTTCTTACTTAACCTCCTGAAGTCCCGGTATATGTTGTCCTGCGTGCGAACCAGCCCCTGTCTTCTGTTAATTCTTGTTCACCTCCTTCTTCTTCTTTAAGCTTTGATTCCTTCATTTATCACAGCAGTGCTCTGAACACAGACGGACACGGCTCCTCCCCTAAGTGATGAAACTTTTGCTGCAGCTTTCAGCAAAGAGAATGAACACGGAGCGTTTCGCTAACGTTTAAAAAATATTCGTTAAAAATATTATACTGATAACTACAATAAACTAACAACTCTCACTCTGTAGTCTAATATTTAAAAATAAAAACCGACGCCTTGTACATTGGCTGTGAAGTGGTAGGAGATGACGTCAGGCCGGCCGGCGAAATGCGGAAGAAGAACGGAAGACGGTAATTTTTTTCACTTTTCAAAATAAACCCCTGCCACCCGACAGTCATGCTCTCGTACAATGCTGTTAGTCACTACTGTAATACTGACAGTGCTCTACTCCAGTGGCATTGGTGGAGGAGCACCAGAGGTAAGGGGTGATGAATAGGTGAGAGTTTCTAGTAAAACAAAAGAGATCATAAAAAAATTGTGTTGTTTAATAAAAATCCTGACTTGTGTGTTGATGGTTACTTAAGGAATCTATATATTCTAAATGCTTTTCCAACCCATAACCTCACATTAGGACATGTAATGATACAGAGGGCCACAGCAGTTTGAAACAAAAATATTTTTCATTAAATGCTTCCTTTATTATTCACATTTAGTCAATTTAAAAGTAACTGGAAGTGGTGGATGCAGAAATCATGTCCTGCACTTCTATAATTACCTTGTCACCTAT